GCGGGGGGGCGGTTTCTTTCCCCGCCTCTTTCCGTCGTCGTCGGCGTTAAATAAAAAGTTTTTGGGCGCTGTTGTTGTTTACGGAGGGCGAGTTTCGTGCGCGGGGGTGTCAGCCCTATAGCTTGTCGAGGCTTTTGGGATTGGTGAGGATCTCCCTGGCTAGCCTCCAGGTCTGTTTGGCAGCGCTTTCCAGGGCCGAGTGGGGCTTGCCCTGAAAGAGGTCTAGGTTGGGCAGGAAGTAGTGGGGGCAGCGCCGGCACTGCAGGCAGGAGATGAGCTGCAGGAGGATGCCGTTCAGCCGGTCGCCCAGGCACGCCTCGTCCCAGTCGGTCTCCCGCGGGTGCTTCTCGCACTCGTACAGCAGCAGCGTCTTCATGTGGTAGTTGTTGAGGGGCTGCCCGGGCAGCTCCAGGTGCCGGTCGCGCAGCGTCTTCAGCACCGAGAGGCACTTGTTCCGGCAGCCGCCCATCAGCAGCCGGTTCTCGGCCTCGCCGAACTGCAGCACCCAGGCGTCGCTCTCGGCCGAGCTCTGCTTGCCCGTCAGCGAGTAGCACTCCTTGGAGAGCAGGTTGAAGCCCTCCGCCTTCACCTCCGCCACCCGGTTGGGGCCGGGCCAGGGGATGTGCGGCATGGGCCACTGCGCCGCGCTGCGGGGCCAGATCCCGGTGCACTTGAAGGCGGGCGTGATCTGCACCACGTACCGCTCCCGGATGCGGAGCTTCACCTCGCTGGTGTCCGCGATCATCTTCACCACGTCCCGGTAGCTGCACTTGTCCACGGCCTGGGCCACCAGCGTCTGGAAGCGGGAGCGGATCTTGCGGGCGGACAGGTAGCCCGAGGCGGTGATGAACTCCACCCAGAGGGACATGCTGCGCTTGCGGCCGTCGCTCAGCTTGAGCACGGCGCAGCCCGGCAGGGAGCCGTCGTCCACAAAGTTGAAGACGCCCATCTGGTTGAGGTAGAGCACCACCTCAAACTCGGTGGGCGAGATCCCCTCCAGCCCCTCGTAGCGGGCGTCGATCTCGCTCAGGGAGCTGATGAAGCGCGGCTCCTGCACCTCCACCTCCTTCAGCACGTCCGACACGACCTTGCACACCTCCCGGATGGTCTTGGCGATGGCCGCCTTGCGGGCCTGGCAGCGCTCCGTGTAGTATTTGTTGAGCTGGTAGACCAGCTTGGCCTGCGCGGCGATCATGTTGGGGCACAGGTCCGGGCTGTACACCGGGCTCTCGCAGTACGTTGAGGGATCCAATGCTTTAGCGGTGGCTGCAGCTTTGCGGAGGGCACCAGCCAAATCGCAGACCCCCACCCCCTCCGGGAAGAAGGCGGCAGCGGCGCGCCAGGGAGAGCAATTAAAAAAATCGGGGAGGACGACGAAGCACAAAGGAGCGAAGCCCCCCCAGGACTCGCAGAAGGTCCCCGCAGAAAAGCCGGTCGGCGGCGAAGTTTAAAACCGCACACGATACGGGAGGAGGAGAAGAATGCGAGCAATGCCCAGAGCGGAAGAGTGATTTCTCTGTCTGTCTGTCTGTCTGCCTCTCTCTCTCAGTCCGTGGCACCGCCAGAGATGTGCATGAGTTTGGCTGCCGCGCTCCCAGCCTGTCAGGGGGTGTTGTTGATTTCCCTTTTCCTGCTGGAGGCGTTGGCTGAACCCGGCTCTGTGGCTTTTCTCTATCTTTGCGCGCAGACGTGTGCACTTGGTCTGTGATCTCTCATTCCTGTCCTGCAGCTCTACACGGATTGTTGTGAGAGAGAGATAGAGAGAGAGAGAGAGGTTGGTTGTTGGTTGGTTTTTGGTTTTGGTTTTTTTTTTGGTTTTTTGCCCCCACACAAGACACAAAATACGGACCGATTTAAAGGAATGCCTCAGGGAGGGAGAGAAAGACATCCAGAGTCATTCCGCGGTGAAACAAAAGGCCAGGAAAATTTCTCGTCTGAAACCGAGTAGTGGCTGAAGCGATATCTTCCCTTCTATCAAATGCGAGAGATTGGTGAAGCCCTGCCTCACCGCAGGCGCAAATCTTCCTTCGCGGAGGCCGGGCTGCAGCGGGGAAAGGCCGACCGTCGCCGGGGCAGAACCGCACACTTTGTTTTATTGCCCTCAGCCAGCGCCGTAGTCACGTTAATGTAGATGAATCTCGTGCCATAAAGTTCTGCTCATCCTCCTAAAGCGTAGGATTGAGTTATTCGAAAAGGAAGCGGCATTTTATGCGCGTTTGTATTAAAAAGAATATTGAATGATTTGGATGTAAAGCTTCAGTTATGTCAGTCCGGGAAGAGCAGCTCGCTCGCACCCCCGCCCCCCGGCCCGGGCCGTACCTGCC